CTCCTAAATTACATTATTATTATTAGAAGTAAGAATCGTGTACTAGCTAAAATATTGTGTTTGTCTATTCACCACTATATGATTCTCCATATAGGTATGTGAGATGTAAACGTCAAATAAAAGAGAGTAGGGTCTCGATGCCAGTCAATTCCTTAATTTATAATATTTGATGAGCCAAACTTTAATTTGTAATACGTTGTGCATTTTTAAGTATTTTTAAACTGTTTGAATATATTTATTTTATATTAATTTTCTAAAATTCCTAGTGTTAATGAAAACTGCCGTAATTAAAGAAAAATACACGAGTGCGTGACATATTCTGGATATTTATGATTTATTTGATGGACACCTTATTTTACGATATAGTCAATCGTTGAACATTGACAACCTAATGACATGGTCGATCATGGTTGACGATGTGACGGTATGGTCGAATTTAGTTGGCCATTTCATGAGATGCTCAATCATTTCAAAAACTGTTAAATTCTACAAAATGGTCACGACAGATACATTTTAATGCGTGATAAGATTAATCGTCATTCATTGTCTGCTATATTGTGAAATAAACGTCATTTCTTAATTTAAATATTTCTGTCGACATTTCCTGAACCATGAAGTATTAAATGCATCACGTGCCCACTGTCATCGGGGTCTTACTGCTCCAGATCTTACAATCTCATCAGAACTCCGTAGTTTCCACTCACGTTTCATAGCTGAGAAATGTAATAATTGGCAGCATAGTTGCACTGCTTTGAAGTACCTACGCGAGGATTTTAATATAATCGCTATTGGATATTTCATTACAGTTTGTAAGAAATTAAGATATATGTGCCTTGATCTGGCTTCATTAAGCATACGTTCAAGCACACATGTGCTAATATTATTTGACACTTGACAGGGCTGTTACGCTTCTTAGCCGAGTGTCATAGTTCTATCACATCTCTATCAGAAGTTAGAATAAATCGTTTACCATGCTTGACAAATATCATCCAAACTTCCGGGAGTTTTGTACTTCATTATACATTACTATTATCTTAATTTTCTGTGCATTAAAACCTAAGACTGATTTGGGACCCAAAAACTTTTCCTTGCAAATGTAAAACCATTGTCCCTAGCAATAAGAACAAATTTCGGAATTTACTCAAAAACAGTCATGACAATTTTGCGCCTGGTAGACTAGTTACAGTAGGATCGATTTGAATAATATTACGCAAAAAAACAAATCATAATCTTTTTTTGACAGGATACGGAGATATCTCTTGAACTATCAGCGTCCGGCTTGAAAACAAAGAACATTTTCAATTGTCGCGTCAGCATCAACTTAAAAGTCCAATCAACAAGATACGAGTATGTTACGTGGTTTCTCTAAACTAAAATTATGGTGGATGAAGTGCGCCTGCTTGTTAGTTCCCTTGTATACCTGCGCCTCTGCACGTAACTATGGTTTCCGAAATCTCCACGGGCTTGTTACAACCTTAACTAACAAGTTTCTTTTATCAGCTCCTGAACTACGAAGAGTTGAGTACATCACGTGCCCATTGCTTAATCGTCACAGATTTAGTGCCGCAAGTTTTGCGAACTCATTAGAACCACGGCTGCGCAGCTGAGCTGTAAAAGCTGAAGCTCTTATTGTAGAAGTTTGAAATTCCTTGATACGTGGCATAGCTGAGAGTTGTAGCAATTGGTCGAATAGTTGCATCCCTTTATAGCACTTAGGCAGGAATGTAGATATAATTGATATTGAACAATTCATCCGAATAACTGAAGCAACGTTCTTAGGGGACATATGCAGGGCCGGCTTCAAAGTCTTATGCAAAATGAGCCCAATCTTAAAGTACGCGCCTTTCTCCCATATTAATTGAGAATTTTCCGCTTCCCATGACACTGCGCCCTGAGGTAGCTGCCTCACTTACTTACAGCCACTAGCCGGCTTCAAAAATGTTTATTTTATTTTTCAGAAAAAATTGTAAATGAACTACAATATTCATAACTATATCAATAAAAAACTACTTACAACGTTGAAATTTGGTTTCAGGACAAGTAATCTCAAAAACAGAAAACATAAAAGCAACAACTTCACGGGTGACAGTATATGGAAACTGGTCATTATTCAAATTCATTATTGTAGTTTTTAAAACGTATTCAAGTAAAATCCATACTAATCGACGGACCAAACATGGCGGTTATTCTGTCCTGCAGCAATGTGTTTTTCCAAAACGGTGGTAGAATTATTTAATCATGAAAAGTATATGAGAAAAGAAAACGGTATAAATTTAGAAACATTGTTTCCCAATAGGGTCGCAGGAAAGTAAACGTCAATTTGACACAGACGCCACCTTTGTTTTCTGTCACCGACATGTCATTTTGTTAGTTGAATATTTACCATTGATCGCTATGGAGTCGTATTCGATTGAAGACCGCATTAAAGTTATTCAAGAGCACTACAAAAATGGTGCAAAAATTAAAAACATGTTTCGCGCGCTTCGTGAACATTTCGGTCGCAACAACCGCCCAAACGAAACAACCATCGGTCGTCTGGTGCGGAAATTCGAGGCAAATCTGCCAGGCTCTGGCCGGCCAAGGAGCGTTCGCACACCGGAAAATATTGCTGCCGCATCTGGGCGAACGAAAATCCCCGTGAGTATCAAGAGCAGCCGATGCATCCTCAAAAAGTGACTGTGTGGTGTGCATTGTGGTCAAAAGGCATCATCGGACCTTACTTTTTCGAAAATGCGGCCGGATACGCCGTTACCGTCAATTCTGAGCGATATCACGTGATGATAGAGGACTATTTTTTGCCGCAACTTGAAGGAATGGATATGGACGATGTTTATTTCCAACAACATGGTGCAACATGCCACACAACCAACGTCAATGGATATTGATCGATTGCAGTCCTTCTTCGGTGATCGCGTGATTTCGCGCAGAGGAAATGTGCCATGGCCACCAAGATCGTGCGATTTGACTCCCTTGGACTTTTTATGGGGATATTTGAAAAGCAAAGTCTACGTCAACAAACCAGCCACCCTCCAAGAACTCAAAAACAACATCATTGCCGAGATAAATGCCATGGAGCCGACCATGTTGCAAAATGTCATTGAAAATTTCGACCATCGCGTGGACGTCTGTAAATCCAGTCGTGGTGAACGTTTGAGCGATATTATTTTTCGTACATAAATGGTATAAATGAACCTTCAAAATAAAGTACCCAACTTGATTTGAATATCAATCTCTCTTGTTTTAATATGCGTTTACTTTCCTGCGTCCGTTTTGGACAACCCCATATTTACTGAAACAAACAATCATTCAAGGGTAATTTACTCAGATGGACAGAGACAACGTTTCAGCTTGAAAAAAGTAGAAAAAACTAAAAAAGCTATTGAGACCAGGTGGTTGACTCAACCCAGCAAGAAGAAAATTACCCATATGGTTATTGTCTAACCATACTATGCCTTAACTGACGATAATATGGCATTCAAAAATCCCATCTTCGGAAAATTGTGAGTAAGTGGGACGTTTGGAAACAGTCCACTGGTATACCAGTAGCCTTGTGTGAAAATTTTATCAAAATCCGAGCGGTACGTTCCAAGTTATAGACGGAAATGAGTGACATGACTGTTTGTGACACACATGTCATGTAGCATCCAAAAAAATATAATAACTAATTTTCAAAATTTTTAGTGGCTACAATACTTCCTCGCCAGTAAGTGTGGGAAGTGCCACCGTGAACACCTCGCGATTCAACATGCAGTGCAATATATCACCTAATCTATAAATTCACAGCCACTATATGGTTATTCGCGTGAATGTATTTTCTATGCAAGCCATAAAAGGGGAAAAGCGGCTTTCAACAACTTTTCTTAAAGTTCGCCGTCGATTTCGCGCTCGATTTCACACGCCAGCCGCATCTTCACAGATATTTTTAGAAATAGTCCGCCTTTTAATCTGGGATTTCAAAGGCGATTTCCTGTTGGCGAACCTTTCCCTAAGAGGAAATTAGAGAAGGAATGAAGAATGATGAAATAGAATACAAAAGCTGTATCTAGCTAAGGAGGGACTACAATACCGGTCATGTCGTTGCCCAATGTTGCATACTCGAATATGCATACAATCTGGAAAACGACAGATTGGCTGCGGCATTGATTTATCTGTTGTTGATTTTTTCTTTGATGACTTATTCTACAATTTAATTATGTCGTTTATCAACTTTATTAGAAAAAACCTAATTCCTTAAAAATAATGTACCTGAGAAATGATCAATAAAAGACATTCTTTAATTCATCTATAATGTAGTCACTTGTAGTCAGCACGATTATTTGGTTTAAAGCTGAGGCGGCAGTAATATTGACAAAAAAATACGCTTTGACAAAAATTTCTGAAGTTGAGCTTTGATATTATGTACATCTCGTAAGACCATGCCACTTCCGCGGGTCTGCCTGCCTGTCCGCTAATCCTTGACCCCGCTGTAACCTAGAAAGTACCGGTCGGATTTTGATGAGACTCTCACATGAGGTTGCTACTATGCTAAGGGCGAACAAACTTTATGGTTTTTCAAAATTGATCCAGTGTCGGCCCAGCTAAGGGCAAGAAAAGCAAAATAACAAAAATCGCTCAAACTTTGTTTTTTGACGTTCCAAGGGATCGAGATCATTTTCGATAAAAAATGTTACGGGTAAGAGATTGGAGAGTGAGGGTTGTAACAGTTGCCTTGTATTGCCGATTAATCATATTTTTTTTTTGTTGTTGTTGTTGTCGCACAGGTTTAATTTGAAGTAATGCAGCAAGAACTTGAAAAGGAAGAAACAAAAGCTGATAATCTAATCTAATAATCTCCGTAGCATATTATTTTAATTCATAGCATATTATTAAATCAATTTTATTGACAAAAATGACTAGACCGGCCCATTGGCCATTTCCCAAGATAGGGCTTGTTTTTAACTGTGTATCTAGCTATATTTTTCTCACGTAATTCATAACCAAAATAAATAACACGCAGACATTTACCTATTATCATGTTTATTTGAAATAACAAACATAACACATGAATACCACGGAATAACTATAATTTTTAATTTGTATCCGTTGTTTTTCTTCTGTAGTCGTTTGGCTGCCTGTATATAGTAGTCAGCATCTTCCATGTCACTGAACAATTTGGGAACTGAAACCAAATATTTCTAATTATCAATTAAACATGGTCCATCCTGATCTATTTTATGATCCAAAAATTTCAATTATTACATTTAACGTACAGCAATCGCACTCCATTTTGATCATCTTTACAGTCTCTACCACTAAGTTTATAAACGTGTAGTCAATTTTCCATGCATTCAGGTAATTAATTGAAGAATTTACTCACCCTGATATGGACGATTTCTTCTTGTGTTGCCTAGTAATTTCCTTAGTTCACCATGAGTAATAATTTTAGTATTCATCTCCACATATTTTCGTAAATAACTCAGTTACTTCCATCCCATGCTAGATCTTCCACCGTCAAGAAATCAATTCAATCTCGAAATTTTCGCCTCGGGGATTTGTTTACATCCCAACAACAAGCCGGTTTGTCACTCCGGAGCTAAAAATAAATAAACAAATAAATAAATGTACATCTATAAATTGATATCACCTTCTGAATTAAAAACTATTTGTGTTGCATCAATATTATTACTCACCTATTGAACTATGTATTTCTTTTATAGTCAGATGAATTTATTATTGTTTTTTGAAATGTTCCAATGTCAAAGGCTGATGTCGCTGATGTCGAGGTACTATTCTGCGTACCCAACTACTTGCACACCTCGCTTGTTCCGCATAGTTGCTAATTTTATTTCAGAATTTCCTTATGTTTATTAATCAATCAAATTTATATGCACATATGACAGTGTTGCCACATTTATTCACGATACTTCCTTGAATTTATATTAGGAACCTTCTCATTTTGGGATTAGCCGACAACGTTTGGCTCTTAGTGGTGAGGCGTACAACTATATCTGAAAATGTCAAGTCAAAAAAATTAAATTTTGGGATGGGACTTCCTTCCACTATCGGAGAGCCATCTTGTTCTGTTCCGCTAGTGCCAGAAGACCTGAAATTTTCCTCCTTTTTTGCCTGGGGCATCTTCGTTGGATTGTGGAAGAAAATTTCATAGATAATTTCCTGTGTCACCCCTGTTGTGAGTGCGTAGCATCTTTTTTTTTGTCTACCCTTGGACCCGAGAAATTCTACAATTTGTAGGATCTTATTGTATTCAGCCGCACTTTTTGCCAGACAGAACCACGTGAAAAACCCTACCCGACATCATCTAGGGTTTTTATTTTGGGGGAATCTTCGCTACTGGAGATCCATTGACACGTTTTCTACCGGGGACCTCTTTCCGAACAGAGACCCTTTTTCCACCATAGGGATTCTTACGTCATTGGTTTTGAAGCCTTCCTCGACCATTTTAAATTAGTTAGTCAATAAGCTTTCGCATTAGGGGAGATCTCCTAGTTTGGCTGGCTTGAATTTTTGTTGTTAGCCGTTAGTAGATGTACTAAAATGTATTGATGTTGATTTTAGCAATTATTTACCCACACAGAAAATCTATTGTTTGTATGTATTTTTGTTTTTGTTTCTTGGGGTTTTGGGCTAAGGAGTGCCTTTTAACACCAAGGCGTCTTCCAGTTTTGGCGGATAAAAACTGGTGGCGCGCCTAAAAAATACTCACCCTACTCTCCGGTGTACCTGAGCATAGGGCCTAATTTGCCAACGCTAAACCACGGCTTTAGCCTCAGTAACCCCCTAGTTTTTTTTTAAATCATCCATTGCCTCAATTGAGGGAAATAACTTAAACTTAAAATTAAAAAGTGATCCTATTTAAAAAAAAAGAGCGTGGCAGGGTTATAGGGAATAAGGGCATCTCTCACTTTTTCGACAATAGTATACAGTTAAGTGGTAGAGTAGCCAGCTGGCTAAACTTCGCCTCGCAGTGTGGAGGGATTAATAAAGACATTATTATTATTATTATTATTATCTACGCCTCCAGTCGCGCACTTATTGGACATATTTCATTCATCATAGACTCCCCTGTATACTTATTTTTAATACTTAAGATGATGGAGAAATATTTCCAACCCTCGCGTGGCGATCATACCTTCCACTGTCGTACCATTGCATATGCGTAGCAGTCAGGCTTCGCTACTCGACTCGACTGGATATGGATCATCATCCATGCCACATAGTTCCGATCATGTGAGCCTGCAGGAATTTTCTTTAGGGAAATGTAGAGGACCATCCATCGGCAAGAGATAACCTTGTTTGAATGCGTACCTGTTCATCAAAGCTTTTTGACGGCGAGAGATAGTATATCTACTCAGGGAGCCAAGTCATTAATTGCCTCAACATCGTACATAAAAACATGCTGAATATGCACTTTTTAATTGTATGAGTCTCTTTGACTAACTTGGTCTATTACACATGTTTTGAGCTAATTTTCTTCTCAGAGGGGTCAACTTGTGCCTAACATAATCCTTTCTGAACTGTTGACAGCATTGCGTATGGAGTGCAGAGTCAACTTACTTGACGCAATTGTTTATACACACCAGGAAAAATCAAGCAAAATATACTTAATACCTTCAAATCGCACCAGTGAAGGAGAGGCAACATTATTGTATTGAAACGTGCTATTTCTACTTTCCATGGAATTTCCGATCATTAAAACCTTGTCACTCATTTGTGTCAGTTTGTCTGTTACATAATACTTGAACCCTTTCTAATTTGAAAAGTACAGCTTGGATTTGGATGAAATTTTAACCCAAGGTTAGTAATATGCCAAGGACGAAAACGGTTTACTGTTTCAAAGGCTCTTGAGTATTTTCAACAATTTCCATAAAATGTCCTCCAATTGTCTGACAGACAAACTGATCTCTGATTTAAACTCAACTACCGCAAAAACCTTGATGAGATGACCTCGAAATCCTCATAGTGACTAATTGTCATCTGACTTAGTGTCTAGAAAAGTCTGAATGACAAATGCAGCTGCTAGATTTCTTTTGAAAATACCCCCTTGATATGACTTCAAAGTGTCTTTCAAATGTCTTCACAGAGACAAACAAACATCGGCGACCCCATATGCACTGATTATAGTGTTACCAGATGGGATGACCAAAAGTTCTGGTCGAAATTTCAATTCGCGATTTTGGTATTATAGTGGAGACAAATAAACATTTCGATTTGAAAAAGTTATGTTTTTACAACAAAATACTTTGTTGGAAATTTATCAGGTTTTAGGTTTAACATAATACTATATATGTATGACAACTAATAGGTACATACTTATTTTCTACTTTGCCACAACTATTTGACAATTGAGTTCACCGATTCCACCAATTTGATGCTCTTTGGGGTAATTTTGAATTTCCGTAATTTTGAATTTGTGTTTTGTTATTTGTGGGGACAATTAATTAAACATATATAAAGTGTCGAGACAATTCTGATAAGTCTCGACTATGTGGAATCCCAGAGTGAATACGAGTGTGGTGTACATAATGTAGAAATTCTATTAATAGCTAGCTTTTTGGTTTTCTGGAGCACTCTACGGCGTAAAGAAAGTAACTCTTACGAGGTACAGTAAATCCACTCTATACGAGCTTGTTATTTATTCCAACTAAAATAACTAACTCATTGCTACCATGTATTTCCCTACGATAAGTAAAAAACTCCAATACAACTCGCTTGTGGGCGTTGCGTTGGGCCGTTGGGTCATGGCCATAAATTTAATCCCTTAATCTAGTCGCTAGAGGGAGCTTAACTATTCATAAATAATGTCTATCGTCGCCACGTCGAGAGCTCGCCTCTCTGTACAGGACGTGGGTTCGGGTTTGGAATTTATTCGCCGGGAACTAATTTAGCGAAATAAGGAGCAATAAGCGCTAGCCCAGGTCAAATTTGATGGTTCAGCTTTGTAACTGTTCGTAATACAGCATATATATCTAGTTTCAATATAAATCCTGATTACGTCAGGATCAGTAAGAGTATCATTAGCTTGTCAGCCTGATCATAACGAGAAACTGTACTATGTTCAAGGACAATAATAGATTTTGAGACCTATAGTTCATTGTCAATTTAAAACCGTATATTCGGCACCGAACAAGATAAAATAAGTAAATTAAAAAAATACGTTTTGAAAACAAGTTTTTGTCTAGCTGTGTTAAAGTGAACTGGAAATTAAAGCTTAAGTTTTAAAATGAATCAATTAATTTAAATTTTTAGTTCGCTTCATTAACAGCTGGATAAGAGCTTGTAATAAAGTATGTTTTATTTTATTTATTTTTTACTTTTTAGTATCTATGATGTCAAATAACTAGTTCGGTAGTTTTTATATAATTTTCATTTATGCCATTACTCCATAATGGTTCTAAAATTTGTATATCTTAAAGTTGACGGTATATATCCTGAACGTGGTATATCTGAAAGTTTGTTATTGTCTAGGTTTCAAATGCAGTATCTAGAACTGAGAGGGAAGTGTGCATCAATTATGTTCTTGCATAAACTACTGCACAATCAAATTAATGCTAATGGCTCAAATAAACTTTAATGTTCCATCTATTCAAACTCGTACAATTAAAACATTTTATTGTGACAGGGCTCGCACAAATTTGTTTTGAAGGCACCCATATGTGTGAAACTTTTAATGCAATATCAAATTATTGTGATATAAAGGGTGTCCCAAAATTAACGCAAGATTTGAATTAAATAGAAAATGCCATTTTTAGTCTCTTAATAGTTATATTTTTATTGACTCATAAAGTACATAGGATAGGGTTATGTATGGAATAACACATCGGACAAATGGCCTCCACGGCTTTGCATGCACATGCGCACTCTTTTGTCGAAATTTTCCATGACCCTTCTGCATAAATGTGGCTGAATTTCGTTGATGCAGCGTTGAATCTCCTCCTTTAATGCACGGGTGGTTGTGGGCTTGTTGACATAGACTTGTGATTTCAAATAACCCCATAAAAAGAAGTCTAATGGTGTTAAATCACACGATCTAGGAGGCCAATTTTGATCACCGAAACGAGAGAGTACACGACCGGGAAATGTCTCATGCAGTAATTGAATTGTTTCACGGGCTGTATGACATGTGGCACCGTCTTGTTGAAACCACATATTGGGTACATCAATATCATTCAATTTTGGCAGAAAGAACTGTGTAATCATGTCGCGATATCGAGCACCAGTAACAGTCACTGCTTGACCAGCATCATTTTCAAAAAAATATGGCCCAATTATGCCTCCAGCCCAAAATCCACACCAGACAGTCACGCGTTGTGGGTGCATTTCTTTTTCGACAATCACACGTGGGTTCTCCGAACCCCAAATGCGGCAATTTTGGCGATTGACAAAGCCATCAAGATGAAAATGTGCTTCATCGCTTAGGATGATTTTGCTTGAAAAATCAGGGTCCATTTGTTGATGTTCAATAATCCATTCAACAAACTCTCTTCTCTCTGCATGGTCATTAAGCTTCAATTGTTGTGTTAATTGAAGTTTGTAAGCATGAAGACACAGATCTTTGGTGAGTATACGCTGTAGAGAGGTTCTTGACATTTGCAATTCTTGTCCACGACGTCGAATTGAGGTTCCTGGATTGTCCGCAACACTCTCACGCACTGCTTCGATATTCACATTTGAACGGCTTGTTTTTGGACGACCAGTGTGTTTGGCGTCTCCAACGGATCCAGTCTCCATGAATTTTTCAATTAATCTCTTCACAGTTGACGAAGTTAAAACACTATTCCGGCCATATTTTGTATGAAATTTTCGAACTGCAGCCGCCAAGCTTTCA